TTCTGAGGGTGCAGAAGCCCCCGAAGCTGCCCGGCGCCCCCAGGAACCCTGTGCTGGGCTGGTGGGTGGCGGTGGGAGAGGCGCGGGCCCTCCGGACCCCCAGACCCTCCTCTGCACATGGGCATCTCTGTCCACTTCGGTTCTCTCTCCAGGTAGCAAACCCCACCCACAGGCCTCCTGGGCCGAAGGCCATTGCTCAACTCTGAGAGCGGTGCTGCCTGAGGGACAGGCCCCGACGCCTCATGGGAGAGCGAGTCCTGCTTCTCGGAGGCCGTGATCCACAGCTCGGGATCCGTGACCAGGACGCCCCCAGGGACCATGTGGCTCCGGGAACCAGGCCTGCCCACCCCGCTGGCTGGTGCCCGCCTGCTTGTCAGCTGGGCTGTCGGGCTGGGCATGTGGGCTCCCCGAGCAGCGGTGCCCACCAGGCTGGGGCCGCAGCCTGAGCTCCGGGTGCAGGGCAGCCTGGCCAGGCCTTGCGCCTCGCACTGTCCGGGTGTCGGGGGCTGGCGCCTCCCGGTCCTCCTCCCTCCCTGTGGCCGGGAAGTCGTGTTTCCTGTGGGGACTGATCCGGTACAGAAGCCTCACCAGGCTGACTCCTGATAAACAGGAAGCTCACGGCGGCTGTGATCGAAAGGCCAGGTGTCCCCCGGGCTGTGCCCACCAGAGGCTGACCCTGTGCTGGAGCCGCAGTCCACCCTGCACCAGGCCGGGGAACAGGGTAGCCGTGGGCTCAGGGCTTCCCACCGCATCAGGGTGGTTGCCACGTACACTCCCGCCCGCCAGGGCCCCAGCACCTGCAGCTGGTGATGTGCTGAGTCCCCGAGCGGCAGGCAGCGTGAGGCAGCAGGAGCCGCGCGTCCAGCTGGGCCCGGCCCCCGCGGTGGGGCGTGTAGATGGGGAGGCCCCGGTGCAGCGAGTGTGTGTTGGGGGCAGGAGCCAGATGCCTGCCTGGCCCACACCCGGCCCCAGAGCCCTGGGCCCTTTCAGGCCGTGCCCAGCGGGTGCTTCTGCCGCCTTTGCCCACCGCCTGGCGCTGTGGCAGGGCGGGCTCACTGCCAGCTGGACGGGTGCCTTAGGGCCGGGAGAGGCAGGCGCGGTGCCTGAGACCCCACCATCAGGTTCCCGTCCCTGTGAGAAGAGGCCTCTCTGGCTGCGTCTCAAACGTCCCCCTAGAGCAGTGGTTCTCAACCTTCTGGCCCTTTAATACAGCTCCTCATGTTGTGACCCAACCATAAAATTATTTTCGTTGCTACTTCATAACTGTCATGTTGCTACTGTGATGAATCGTCATGTAAATATCTGATATGCAGGATGGCCTTGGACGACCCCTGTGAAAGGGTCGTTCGACTGCCAAAGGGGTCGCGACCCACAGGTTGAGAACCGCTGCCCTAGCGTCTGCCCCTGACTCAGCAGGTGGAGCCTGGCTCTAGGCAGCAAGGCTCAGCCTACTGTTCACAGGCAGCCTCGGGGGTCGGGGGTTGGGGGGGATGGGGGTAGAGCGCGGGTGCAGGAGGTTAAACAGCGAGGTTCCCAGGACCTGGTGTGTGTTTGGGGGGGG